TCCCCATGGTTATGTAGGCTCCTAAAATCTATTTTGCATCTTGGTTAAGCGAAACATCTGGATGCATGACTATGCAGCCGATTATCTTTACTGCCCATGTCACTCCCAACACTGACAACGTCAGGACAATCTCTTCATGCTCTGCTGCTGGCCTTGGATTACAGACTTGGCTCCAAAAAAAAACCAAAAAAAAAAAACCAAAACCCATACCTGTGTCTGTGAGCAGAGCGCAGAGAGGTGGAGCTCCACCCTCGGATCCTCCCCTCAAATTTAGGAGACCTGTGTGTGTGTAAGTATCAGTCGGGAACACAAGGGGGAGTTGTTGCAGCATATGGAGACAGAGATGGAGGGGGGAAATGAGAAGGTACTTTCAGAAGATGGGGCAACCTCAAGAGCCGAAAAATGAGACCAATGTGCAAGTGGGGAAAACTGCAGTACCTCTAGGCGCCACTTGCATCTTTACATCATTAAAAAGCATGTTTCCATTGCAAATCCAGTTTGGCCTCTGTTGATAATTTTCTTCACAACAACTCGGAATGGGGTGACTTAAAAAACACCAACAACACCAACAACAAAAAACCTCTTTGACCAGGATAACTGAGTTATAGTTGTGCGGCCTTATTTTTTTAAGATGTCCTGATACAGTCGCTAGAGTTCATGGAAATCTTCAAGGCATCATCATAGACAATATAAAACACTGACTATCTTCTGAAAAAATGAAGCCAGTGCTAAAGTAAGTGAACATAACATCTAAAGATATCACAAAGTGCTTCACAACAGAAATGCTAAAACTTATTTATACAAGTTAGCCAAAAGCAATCTTATAAAAAAATGTAACTGCTTTTTAAAAGGGATCACTGAGCCCAGAGAAATCAGGCTGGGGGCTCAGTTAGCTACAGTGTGACATGTGAGTATTTATAAGACTTAGTCAGAAGCCTCGCAGAATCATTGTGAACAACCTGCAGACGTTCCAAAGACGTTTTGTGAACACAAGTGAACAATGAATTATAATAATTAAATAAAAGCATGAATAACAATTTACATGTCAGAGTGTGACACAC